TGATGCTGCTTGGCCTGCTGTGTTCATCCAGCTGTACACCTTGTTATCTCAGATTTTCCAGCATCTGCAGTTCCTACTATCTCTGATACAATTTAAACCCCACTGCGAAGCGTCTTCTAAGGATGTCTCCCCTGAAGAAGTTACCCTCCTCTCTCCAGACAAACCTCAGAAGATTTTCTGATGAAGGGTCTAGGCCCGAAACGTCAGCCTTCCTGCTCCTATGATGCTGCTTGGCCTGCTGTGTTCACCCAGCTGTACACCTTGTTATCTCAGATTTTCCAACATCTGCAGTTCCTACTATTTCTCATAAATTTTATGTCTGATTGACTGACAGTTTGGGTGGCATGGTGTCTGTGATTTGCACTGCTGCCTCACAGTGTCAGGGACCCGGCTTCATTTCCAGCCTTGAGTGACTGTCTGTGTGGAGTTAGCGTGTTCTCCCTGTGACAGCTTCCTCCCACAGCCCAAAGGTGTGCAAGTTAGGTGCCCATGCTAAGTTGCCCCATAGTGTCAAGGGATTCTAGAGGTTAAGTTGATTAGTTGTGGTAAATATGGGCATAGGGTGGGTGCTAGGTCTAGGTGGGCTGCTGTTTGGAAGTTTTTGTGCAGATTCGATGGGCTGAATGGCCTCTGCCCACACTGTTGGGATTCTATAATTCAGAAGGATAACTGTTGAGGAAAATGGAATGTGTGCACTTGTAGGGGTTATCATTCAGAGCTTAAGCGTTTTTAAAGACGTGTCTGTTTTTCATTCAACTTCACAGATGATGCCGAAAGAGGGAGACATACCTAAGAGGGAGAACTAGATTCACAAGAACTTAGAATTTTTTTTTGGCTTTTACATGGAGAAGGCCTTGCACTCGAGGGAAGGAACCAAAAGAGGGAGCTCTTGATCTATTTATTAAAATTCTTATTTTCAACTGAGACTTTCTGTGAAATGCAATGCAACAAAACCAAATGTTCTTAAAAGTGCAGTGTACTGGTGTTCCAGCCATATTGTTAATTATTTCAAGTTGACCCTATGTGATGTCATATGCAGAGCCAAGTTGTCATTGGGACCGTATGAATTGGTGACTGAACTTCCAGTGTTGACTTAGGAAGGAAATGGCACTTTTGACAACTGGCAGTGTAGGTAAAAGCAGTGTCAAATTTATCTTTTACTTCAGAAAGTCTACTATTATTAGAGCATTATTTTCCCAGCAGACGCAAGTTTTTTTTTGAAAATAATCAACGTTTTAGACACTGACAGCTTGTTTTCTTTCAAAAAAATCATACTTTGTTTGCTACTTTTGATATGGTTTTGAATTGGATGTATACATTGAAATTCTTTTGAGGTGAAGAAATTGGGGTGCTGCATTGTTGCCACATTGCTCGGAGAGGTTGAAAAGTGTAATTTAGTAAAGATTTAATGTAAAGATTATTTTTAATGTGAAATGATTTTGTATTTCTCTGTGGGCAGTTTAATGTGACCAGAATTGTGCCATATAGATGAATTTCTTAGACCATTTCTATTTGTACTTGAAGCATCTGGAGATCAGACGGCGCATATCTGGCGATACATAGTGCAACTGCCCACCCCACAGCCAGTGATTGATTCAAACGTGAGTAACTGTGTCCTTTGTGAAGCTAAAACTAATTTATGTATCTTTATTAGTTAATACAAACCTTTTGTAATCTCTTCCCCATTTTCTGGTGATCCATTTTGTCTTGGGTAACCCTCCGGGACCTTCATTAAAAACAAGGCCTTATTTTTATTATTCATTAATGATATGAGGGCGTTGCTGGCTAAGCAGCATTTATTGCCCACCCCTAATTGCCCAGGGGGCAGTTCAGAATCAGCCACATTGCTGTGGGTCTGGAGTCACGTGTAGGCCAGACCAGGTAAGGATGGCAGTTTCCTTCCCTAAAGGACATTAGTGAACTAGATGGGTTTTTCCTGCCAATTTGACAATGGGTTCATGGTCATCATTAGATTCTTAATTTTTATTGAATTCAAATTCCACCATCTGCTGTGGCGGGATTTGAACCCAGGTTCCCAGAACGTTATCTGGGTCTCTGGATTAACAGTCCAGCGATAATACCACTAGGCCATTGCCTCCCCTTCATTGTCATGTAATAAATCTTATTACGTTGTTTGGAATGTGGTGAGCAAGAAATAGATAATATGCAGAAAGCGCAAAGATAGGGAATGCGTTAATTGTAATTTTCCAAAAATCCTTGGATTCTGGATAAGTACCAGATGATTGGAAAACTGTCAATGTGACATCCTTATTCAAAAAGGGAGGGAGGCAAAAAATGGGTAACTATAGGCAGCCTAATATCTATTATTGGAAAAATATTGGAATCAATTGTTAAGGGATTAATAGAAGAGTTGGAATATCATAATCTAGTCAAGCAAAGTCAGCATGGCTTCATGAAAGAGAAATTGTGTCTGACTAATTTAGTAGAGTTTTTCGAGGAAATCTTGACCAGAGTAGATAGATGGTGACCAGGAGATGTACTGTATTTGGACTTCCGGAAGGCATTCAACAAGGTATTTCACAAAAAGGTCAAGTCATAAGATCAGAGCGCACGATGTTGGAGGTAGTCTATTGGCATATTAGAGAATTGAATCTTGAGCAGGAAACAGTGAGTGTGAATAACCTTTTTCTGGTTGGTGACCTGTGACCAGTGGGGTTCCAGAGGTATCATTGCTGGGAATGCAACTGTTTACAAAATATATTAATGACTTGGAGGAAGGAAGCAAATATACTGTAGCCAAATTCTCAGTCAACACAAAAATAAACTGAATATTGAAGGCTGTGAAATGCATAATCAAAAGATAAGATTTTGGTTCTTTGAGTGTTTGTATCCTTTAGAGTAGAGAAGGCTGAAAGGGGACCTGATTGAGGAGTACATAGGAGGGCATACAGACGGAGATAGGATGAAACTTTTCTTCTTTGTAGAGGGATCAACAACGAGAGGTATAGATTTAAGGTGAAGGACGAGGTTTAGAGTAGATTGAAGGAAGTTCTTTTTCACCTGGAGGGTGATAAGACATTTGGAACCCTCCTGCCTCTACCACACTTTTAGGCAGACCCATCACAACATTTAAGAAGTACTGAAATGATCATTTGAAGCTCCGCAGCATATAAGGCATTGGGCTAATTGATGGAAACTGGGACTTAAGTAGATAGGTGCTTGATGCCCAACGTGAACATGGATCGAAGAGCCTCTTTCCGTGTAGTGGTATGTTGACTTTGTGACTCTTTCTGTTTCTGTTGGAACATTGCAACAGGCCAAGGTCATGAATGTTAAAACGAAAGCAAGGTGAAGAATTAAAGTAAGAGGCAGCTGGTAATTAGGGATCATGTTTGCCCAATGAATGGAGGAATTCTGCAAAATGGTCATGTAGTCGCCATTTGTTTTCCTCAATGTAGAGAACACCGCATTGTGAGCAGCTAATAAAGTTTACCAGGGAACAGAATTCTTCCTTTTGAGGGCTTTTCTTGAGATTTTCCCAAGGCTACATTTTGGATTTCATGGGCTCCTTTTTTCAGTCTCTCTAATTCCTTTATTGGACGGTGCAACCTGTTAATAACAATCTACCTTATGTACTTGTGTTGATGAATGGGGCGTATGGATTTGCACAGAAGCAGAAGGAAAATAATTCATTAATATTGTCAATAATTACCAATCTACCATTAACTGTAAATCCACAACACATAAGACAAGTGATAGCCTTGTAGCCATCACTGTATTTAAATTGGCACATCTGGCACTCTCTTCCTTTAAGGCACTCTCTAAATCTGATCTCTTTGACAAGTTTTTGGCCACTTGTACCTAATATCTCCTGTGAAGTACTTTAGTGATGTTTGAATGCTATTGACGGAATGTTGAGCAAGTGGTTAGTATCTGCTTGAATTAGATAGGAACTGGGGGATTTGTGCCGGTCTTCAAGCAACTGTGTGATGCTTAAAGGATTAGTAATGGGAGCTGAGGCCTGTAATAACAGTGCAGCTCAAGACAACCTTTTCAAATGAACTTTCTAGGTCAAAATGATAATGAGTAGAAACCCGTTACTGAGCAATCTTTATCTAACACAGTTTTTAAGGAAAAGGTTGTTACCTCTTGTTATTTTGTCAATTTTAGTTCAAGGGAAATGCATGTGGTGGGCTAGGCATGCTGAGACTAGCTTCAAGAACTTAGTGGGGAATGGGTTTTGAGGGCCTGGGGTGGTGAGGCAGTGTTGAGGGTGGATGAAGTTCTATTCAGATGTGTATGACACACGTCTGGGGCAGGTGGGACTTGAACCTAGGCCCGTGACCCAATGTGCCACAAGAATTCTCCTAAATTCATCCATTGAACTTATTGCATAAATAGTAACAGTTCCACTGTGGGCCGGGGGATTTTAATATGTCTTGATGCTACTGTTCCTTTTGACATATCCTAATTCAAAGCTGTTTTAATTTTCTTAGGCAGTAAATTTCCATGCCCCTGAAAAGTTTACTTAATTTAAATTGTTGGAAGATATTTTTGAGAGAGACAATTAAATTAAAAAAGGTGGACTGTATAGTTCATGATTCTGCTTATTGCTTTCCTGAACAACTACATTTGAAGTGTTGTGGAACGCTAAGCTGATAATTCAAGGTGGTTGGACTTCAGCTATGCTCAACAATCTGTCAACAGAAGTTCAGAAGAGTTAAATTGTTTCTTGTTACGTACTGCACAGCTGGAAAATTAATCCTTTGGCTTTTTGCCACAGTTCTCTCATTTGACTAATTACTTTAATTACCTTCAGTGTAACTGCTAATATAGGTCCAGCATTCTATCTGTAGGTTGAGTTAATTCTCTTTATTCTGTTATAGCAAATGTCTGGGGAGGAAGAAGTTGATTTCTCAGACAAAGATGAAGCAGACGGAGAAGTGGAATGCCCCAGTGAAAGCCCAACAGTCCGAGCTCCAACAACTACGCTCAAGAGTCATCAGGGTGTGGTCATAGCTGCTGACTGGTTAGTTGGAGGCAAGCAGGTGGTCACAGCGTCCTGGGATAGAACCGCAAACCTTTATGATGTAGAAACGTCAGAACTGGTGCATTCTCTGACAGGTAAGATGAGATATAGGAATCTGTGATGAGTGCTTCTTAGGCATTTTTTTGGTGAAAATATAGATCTAAGGCTTGACATGTTGAAGGAAACAAACTGTTTACTAGGGTAATATATTTTTTCTTTTCCTGGTCAGCACCTTTGTTATATTGAGGTTGTGAAGTTGCTGCATAATTTTTTCACCTTTTACTGAAAAGTACATTTAGTTCATTTATATGAAGCTGCTGTGTTAAATTTGAGTCAGTTGCCTTGCATATCAGATTTAAATTATTTCAGGGTCATCTAGGGTCTGTGGTATTAGGTACCTGTGACACGGTTTCTATAATAGGGAAGAGCAAAATAGGTTATTGGATTGACCACTTGTTTTCCGTGTTGAAATGTTCCTCTCACCATTGTGTCTTTTTGCTATTTTACCCTTTCTCCTTCACATCTGACAATCCATGTATTTTGTGTAGGAGTAAATAGGACTTGCTCACTTCTACTTCTGTGCATTATGCATTTGCTTAAGATGCAAACACCATCTCTGAGCACTTTAACCATATTTATCAATATCTGATGCTTACTGCTAGATAACATTCCTCTTCTCTCAAACACTAACCCCTTCTGCTAAAGCTGCCACCAGTTGTTTCATTTTGTAGTGCTTTGTGTTTTGAAAATGCTGGTCAGGGGAGCTGACATTTCGAGAACAATCTCTTATACCATGTGACCCAATAGCAGAGAGCACTATCCACAGCTCTCATTCATTAGATCGGAACAGAACTCCATGACATCTCTTGAGGGAGTTTCTCTTGACAGTGTGTACTTTCAAGCAGTCTGTGGGTAGCAGTTGTAAAACATCTCTCAGAATAGAAAAAAGGTGACTGCAAGAAACTGATCAGCATATAGGTATTGCCCAGTTATTTATCCGATTTAACAATTGTCAACAACATTGCAGTTTATTTCCTTCAAGATCTACGTTGAGCTGTAGAATTCTTCAAATTCAGAATGTTTGTAAAATGGTTATTGTGTCATAGATGGTTTCTAAAATCCATATTCCTCTCTGCTGAATGAAACTTATGAAAATTTTTCAGTACCTCTGCTTGTAATTTCAGTCTGTAAGCAAGGATAATTTTGGGCATACAAGGTCAGGTCCTTCAATGACACTTTCCAGACATTGACCATACCACCTAGAAAAACTAGGGCGGCAGATGCATGGGAACACCATGACCTGCAAATTCCCTTCCAAGCTGCACACCATTTCCACTTGGAATGATACTTCCATTCTTTCTTCGTTGGGTCAAAATCCTGGAGCTCCCTTCCAAACAGCACTATCCCTACTGTTCAAGGACTGGAGCAGTTCACAGAGGTAGCTGATGTCTAGCTTCTCCAGGGCCATTAGGGATAGCAATAAATTCTAGCCTAGCCGGTCATGGCCATATCCCATGAATAATGAAAAAGAATGGCTAAGTTTATTTCTGCATCTAAAGCGCCAGTCCAGCACGTCCACTGATGACTTATGAAAGAGTTTGATTGGAAAATTAAGTTCAGCTTGAGGTGTTAAAAAAAATAGCAAATACAATTTTGCTTTCGCATTCTTAAAATTAATTTACTGCACAATTTATCTTCTGTCTCCCTATTCATCAGGACATGACCAAGAGTTAACTCATTGTTGTACTCACCCTACTCAGCGCCTTGTTGTAACATCATCACGTGACACCACCTTTCGTCTCTGGGATTTTCGAGACCCTTCAATACACTCAGTGAATGTCTTTCAGGGTCATACAGAGTGAGTGCCTTTAAACTTTTAACCTTTTACAGATTACTGCCATATTTCTCTTGCAAATCTGAACAGTATGAGATATTTATATTTGCCTTGCTTACAAGATCACAGAGCAAATGTGCTCCTTAATATAGCTTCAACGTATCTGTTGGACTGTGTAAATTACATTAATTAAAGTTTTATTTTTGCAAGTTGTAAACCTTCACTATCTAGTCAGAAACCATGTTGATGAATAACCTGCTTTGTCGTACAATATTAGTGTTTTTCTTTGTGTCATGACCTTTTCAACAACCTCTTTCTAACGTAACTCAGAATCCAGATTAATTTTGAACTTTTAATTGGGTTAGTATTTTTGACTTTGTTATTTTTCCAATAGTTAAGTGATTGTTGATCAATGTTTACATTGCTACTTGATGATCAAAGTGCTTGCATCAATTGGAGGATGGCTTTTCATAGGACATGGCCTTGATTGAGAATTTGTTTAGCTTTGCCTCACTTTGTTCATTAATGTTTGTCTGTGCTTGTGGTTTTATTTTGCCCCTTTTAGAGACTGGGGCTGCGTGAGTGATAGAACTGAATCAAACCACAATCATTGATTCATAATGTCAGTAGATGTAATATATTTGGATTTCCAAAAGGCATTTTTTTAGGTACCACACAATTAATAAGATGAGTCCTGCTCTTAATATGTTAGCACAGATAGAGGATTGGCAAATAGAAGCCAATAGAGCATTGGGATAAAGTGAGGCGTTTTCAGGATGGCAGTCTGTACGGGATAAGTGCTGGGGCTACAATCATTTACAGTTTATATTAATGACTAGGATGAGGGAAGTGAGGCTCTCAGATAACAAAAATAGTTGGGAAAGCGAGTGGTAAGGACAACACAAAACGTTTACAGAGGGATAATGACAGGTTAAGTAAATGGACAAAACTTGGCAGATAGACTGTAATATGGGAAAATATCAGGTTATGCATTTGGCTAGATAAATGGAGGAGCTGGGTATTATTTGAACAGAGAGAGACTACAGAAAGCTGCAACCTGGAGAGTTTTGGGGGTCCTAGTGCATGAATCAGAAATAGCTAGTATCCAAGTTCATCGGATAATACGGAAAGCAAATGAAATGTGGGCCTTTACTTTAAAGGGTACAGATTATAAAAATCAGATGTTTTGCTAAAACTATGTAAGGCAGTACTCCGACCACGTCTAGAGCACTGAACATTTTTGGTCCCCTTATCTAAAGAAAGACCTTGTGGCATTGGAGGCAGTTCAGTGAAGGTTCACTAGGCTGATCCTGAGTAAGGAGGGATTTTCTTTTAAGGATAGCTTGAGTAGATTTGGCCTGTATAGATTGGATTTTAGAAGACATATTGACACATCCGAGATTCTTAGGGGGCTTGACAGGAAAAATGCTAAATGGTAAGTACTATAATTCTATGAAATGCTGAGAGGTTATTTTCTCTTGTGGAAGAGTCCAGGACCAGAGGGCATTATCACCGCGTAAGGGGGCCATCCATTTTAGACCGAGAAGGAGATGAATATCTTCTCTGAGAGTGTTGAACCTGTGAAATTCTTTATCACAGAAAGCTGGAAAGATTTAGTTGTTAAGTATATTCAAGGCTGAGAAAGACAGATTTTTAATCAGTAACAGTATCAAGGGTTATGAGGAGAAAGTTGTTAAATGAAGTTGAGCATTATTGGATCCTCTGTGATCTCAAAGAATGGCAGATAGACCTGATTACTAAATGGCCTCCTTTGTGCTCTACGCCTTGTGGTCTTGTGTTGACACCCCACAATTAGTTGGGATAGCAAAGGGTGGGGTGGGATCTTTGCAATTGTTACTGTTATTCATCTTGTTCACTAGTTTGAGCTGTTCAATGTTTTAAGGAAACTCTGTTTGAGGTTTGTCATGTCTGCAGACTGAAATTCCACTTAAATATTGCATACAGTAGTTACACTGCCTTGGACCATGTTGTTGTATACATTTTGATTGGTATATCAGTATTATTATACTTCATGTCCTGTTGCCTTATAATGTATCCTGTTAAAAATTCTATCAAATGCATTCTATGCCTCATCCAGCACATTTATTTGACCAACTCACCGAGACCCTTCAACAGTACTTTTAAACCTTTGTCCTGTACCATGTATAAAGACAAGAGAAGCAAATGTGTGGGATCACCCCCACCTGCAGGTTCTCTCCAATCCACATATCATCTTGACTTGGAACTAAGTCAGCATTGCCTTCACTGTCACTGGGTCAAAATCCTGAATTCCCTTCCGAATTCAAAACATCAAGTATGCCCACACCCGGAGGACTACAGCAGTTCAAGAGGGTGGCTTACCTACAACTCCTCAAGGACAATTAGGGATAGACAATTAATACTGGCCTAAATGCTAATGCCCATGTTCCGTGAACAAATTTTTGAAAAGAATTACTTTTAGTTTGGCAAGAGGTTCAAAAATGTACTGTATTTTTCTGGCTATTTGTTTTTCTTTTGATTAACACTTTTCTTAAAAGTCTCATTTGTAGAAAGCAACAGACCTGAGATGAGTGCTATGGTTTTGAGGATTAATTTAGCATAATTTTCACTGGGGAGTGTCACTTTTGGGAGTTCAGAAGAAATATCGTCGTTTTATAATCTTGAATAATGACTAGGGTCATGACTATCATGGCTTGTGTTCATCTCAAAACTGATTTGAACCTGATTGAAATATTTTGGATCGGAAGGCTTAGACCTCATTCAGCATTTTTAAACACAAGTTGCTCTGAACAACTTTTGCAATGAGCACAAGCAGAACAGAATAGAGCCCCACTCCAAAATAATCACGACATTGTGATGGTATTATGGTATGGCACTTACATTGAAAGGTTTAAGATCAACATTGAGCATGATATAAGTGGAATGCAGACCAAGGTCATTTGGTAATACAGAATTTAAGTATTGCTGAGAATTCACAAACCCATGTAACTATCATTGTCCTTCTAGTACAGTCATGCCATCATAGTGTGTTTTCTCAATTATGTTCTGAATTCATATAATGAATGCATGTCTAACTTTGCATTGTGTCAAACAATAAGATCAAGTAAAAATAGTATTAAGATAGACACAAATTTATATTATTGTACATGATTGTTGTGTCTTAGTCTTCTTACAATTCTTATGTGACTTGGTCCACATCTCAATTGCATTATTTCATATGTGGTGCCGAGTGCTCTGTCTTAATACTGCCATGTGCCAAGATCAATAGTATGTATATATTCCCTACAGGTCACAGTCCTCATGCTCCAAAGCAAATGAGTAACGCAGGTGCTGTGCAAATTAAACCAAAGAATCAAATGGCTTTAAGTTTATTTGTCAAGGGATGACATTCAAAGTGGAAGACTTCTTATGACATAGTCCATAGATGTGCAGGCTAGGTAGATTGGCCATGCTAAATTGCCCATAGTGTTCAAGGATGTGTAGATTAGGTGGGTTGTAGGGGGATGGGTCTGGGTGGGATGCTCTGAGGTTGGTGTGGACTTGTTGGGCTGAAGGGCCTGTTTCCACACTAGGGATTTTATGACCTATGATCAATATTTTGTCAGAGCTTTTGATCATTCATTCAGATAATTCACAAAATGGGGGAAATAACCCTTTTATAGTGTATGAGAAGAAAGTGCTGATTGGCCGGCAAGTGGACTCTGGTGCAGGCATTGCCATGAAAAATACACAGTTTGGATGATAACTGAAATTTAATTGCAAATCTTTGTTCAGTTTAAATTAGACAGGTTAACTCTCATTGGTGAAAGCATTGGCCTAAAATGAACCAAGAAATGGCAGTCACCTGTTTTGTTGTATTGAACTAAGCATAATGCTTTCTGTCTATAAATAACATGGACCTGTATATTAACATAAGAAGCCTCCAGTATAAGCAAGTGCATCACTGACTGTCTTAAATTTGTTGTAAGCATAATTCTTAACACACTTGGATTATTTAGCAAATGCTATCCAGTTGAGGAGACACATTTAATGTTGGACTCTCCATTTTGGGTTTTGCAAGCACAGGTTTGTTGGGTGTGGTTAGTACCCTGCTGGTTGTGAACAGGCAAAGGAATGTGCTGATCTGCCAATTTTTGGGATCTACAGCCTATGTACTTGGCATCATGCCAGCACTGAAATTCATATACCATATTACTCAACTGTCTGATTAGCAGACTGTCAAAATCTGAGAACCATAGACCAGTCAACTTAATACCAGTGAGCAATAATAAACTGAAATTTATATTCAAAGAAGTAACACACAATTTAGATACTGCAAGTATCAGAGTCAAAAGTATAGAAAATCTGACATAGGAGTCCAATATGGTTCAACCCTGTTCTCACCTAGTATTCTGAAGGGGCAAAATGAAGGTTTCAATGCTCGACCAATGCGCTAACAGTAAGTGACTAAGCAAATTAAATGTTATAGTCAGGCTGCATGCCTTCATTCTAAGCATCATTCTGCTTTTAATTCATTTAGACCAGGTTTCTCTGACCTCAGAAAATCTGGACAATAAAAGACAGGAAGGACAGGAACACATAAGACCATAAGATGTAGGAACAGAATTAGGACATTCGGCCAATTGAGTCTGCTCTGTCATGACTGCTATGTTTCTCAATCCCATTCTACTGCCTTCTCCCCCTAACCCTTGATCCCTGTACTAGTTAAAAATCTGTCTCTTCCTTAAAGACACTCAATGACTTGGCCTGCACAACCTTCTGCGACAATGAGTTCCACAGATTAACCACCCTCTTGCTGAATAAATTCCTCCTCATTTCAGTTCTGAAGGGTCATGTCTTCACTCGGAGGCTATGCCCTCAGGTCCTAGTGGAAACATTATCTCTACGGCCATTCTATCCAGCCCCTCAGTATTCTGTAAGTTTTGATCAGATTCCACCCCCCCACCATCTTTTTAAGCTTGATTGAGTACAGACCCATTAGACAAGTGCCTTGCTTGTGTGCAGGAGGAGCAGGAGTGTTTTCT